ACTCCTATTTATATTATTTGTAGCTAGTTTTAAATCAATAGGTTAAGTGAAATTACATTTTTAATTTAGTTAATGATTGATATAATCATTAGCCAATTATTAACTTTGAAATTAAAACTGAAATCTATAAGGTTTATGTTTTTTCTAAATGAAATAGTAATTGTTTGTAGCTCCTATTTAATTATTGTTTGACAATAATTAAATTTTAATTTTAATTCACCTTCAACAATTTAATTCAATCTAAATTAGTTAGTAAATATAATAATTCACGTTCGATATGCTTTTTTTTAATTTACATTTTTTCTGAATAAAGAATGATTTATTTATACTATTAATATCTTATTTATAAAATAATTTTGATAAATGATGTTATTTGACGGACAAGCTTATTTTGTTATTAAAAGCATAGTACTTTTTGTGAAAACAAATGATATAAAATCATCTTTAGAGAATAAGATACCCCATCTCTGTCATGGTGACAAGGGGAATTTAGATAATGCCCTAAGAAAAATAATGAAAAAATAAATCACAAAGTAAAAAATAAAAGATACTACCTAATTTAGTTAGGCCTATATCAAATATACAGGGTTGCATCACATCACATATTCATTTTGAGTTCATATCTACCTTAGTTCTCCAACTCCTTAATGGCATCCACTTTTAATCGATCAATTACTATTATTATATCATAAAGTTCAAAATCTTAAAAAAAAAAAAAAAATTGATTTAAATGCATGGAAAGTCGTATTATTTTGAAGACACAGAAATTAATTCTATCTAGATGGATAAGTAAAGAAAATTTTGTCTTTAAATTTACAACACGTGGTTTCTTTGATGGGATGCAATCTAACTAATTAATTTGATAAGAATTATTTTTTGCGTACTATTCTTGATGAATTATTCAACCTTTTGAATTAAACGGACAAAAATCAACAATTGAGGTACTTAATTAAGAGGGTAGAAAAGAACAAAAACCATTTGAAATCACGAACATTGGTCGATGTAGATAATGAAGTTTCAAAAATGGCTGTTTAATTATACTTTATCCTTAGTGTTGGAAGATTTGACAACATCTAGAAAAACAAAACAACTTCTTTATATTTTTTTTAACCTTAATATCATGCCCTAGAAAAGTAGCCATTTGTATAGGCCAAACAACACCACAATAGGTGAGGAAAATGAGTTTCTACAGGGAGACAAAATAGTTTCTTAAGGCCAAAGATAAACTCATCAACACAAAGAACAAAAAGAAAAGAGGGAAAGCCCCCCATTTACTAATTTATTAGCATTATCTTAACTCATAATAAATATTATCTCCTTCCATATTTTATGAGATTTGTGCTTTGAGAGTTTCGTTTAATCTGACATGCATTTGGGGTAGGAGATTTTGCTATGATTATCCACAGCAACTTACCCAAAAACTAGTGGGTTTTGTCCCTTTTTTCATCTCAAAGTGAAAGAGAAGAAAAAGAAGGGCAAAAATCTATGCTTGAGAGATAAAGCTGTCACCTTTTAGTTTTTAAATTATCAAATTCAATTCAAAGTAGTGAGAAATGGGTTCAATCGCACAGCTTTTAATTTTTAATATACTAAACAAAAGTAGAGTGTTGAATCTTAATGGGATCTTTTTGAAATCAAAATTTTCATGTGAGATTTTCGAAGAGAACATTAAAATATTAATCCTACCCAAGTGGAAATTCGTTCCAATTTTATACAATGCTTTCAAATAAATTTGTCATATATGACCTAATGATTATGATATTTATTTGGTGATGTACAACTTATATATATTTGAGTCACTCATCTACCTTCAATCAAAATTTTATAAATGTCGGGTTCTTGTGAAACTTTAGTTCAGTTTCTCAACTTTGAATTACACCCATCTAATCTCTATATAAGCAAAACCTTTATTCAATATCTCAACATAATGCAAAAATCAGTTGTATATGTTATATAGACATTTATATATAGTAACATCATTATCATTATCATTAGTATACACAATTAATTGTTGTCGTTGTGCATATCGATCACGTCCTCGTTATCATGAACATAAGCGTCATTTGTTGTATATTAATAATATATATGTTGTTAAAGAATGGAAGAAGAAGAAGAATATGGATATGGTGTGGGAGAGGAGGAGACAGAATCCAAAAGAAAGAGGCGACACAACAGAAACTGTGGGATGTTACTGTGGGCTCGGTCGTCTTGCATTTTTCAGACAAAACTTCAGCACCCATTGCCTTTGCTTCCGTGTCAACTGCCTCTTCCTTTTCAAACCCTAATTCTTTTTTTATTCTAAATTATAATCATACAATACCCTTTTTTCATATCTATAAATTAAAAAACCAACCCTTTTAATTAATGTCAGATTAATTTATAGCCATCTATTTATTATATGGTTTAATTCTCGAAAGAATAATGATCAAATTTTATTGGATTATTCATAAGAAGTGCAAATAAAGTTTCACATTAACTAAGGAACGATAAGATTATCATGGATAATACATGTGAGAGACGATATCTCTATTGGTATGAAATTTTTTTGTGAAACTAAGAACATTTAAAAATTTGGAGGATCTATTGTTATCCGAATGGGCTCCCAACAAAACTTTCTTTATGTTGGTTGGTTTTTGAATCATTAGATTAAATGTCTCTACTTTTTGTGAAATACACATGAGAAGAAGATATGTTTAGTTTTAGTCGGAAAATTAAGGAGCAGGAGATGTCAATTGTCAAAAGGATAAGTTGATGAGGAACTTGCCACTAGCATATAAATTTAATGAACCAAAATATTTGTGGCTTCTCCTTCTTTCTTTAGTAGGAGCCGTCTCAAAACTGGGTTCAAAAGCTGGCATTTTTTTCCCTTTTTAATAAAGCGATTTAGAGTCATACTCATCCCTATATGGAATCCTATAATGTTGAAGAGAATTATGCGAGGAAATAGCTGCAGAAAACTAAAAACGAAATTGCTATCCAATATAACTTTAAGATTTTGACAGGCTACGGCACCATTTGTTTGAATGTCCAAATGCAGAGCCTGTGAATTGATTCCCCTTTTACAAACAACAAATGCTTCTTCATCTTCTTTTTTGTTTGAAAACTTCAAACCGCTCAAGTGGGAACTAAGATGGCCAAATTCCAAAACTAAATCAAATAACTACTTTTCCCCCTTCCCTTTTGGCTGTAAGTTGTGGCCAATAATTTAGCTTTTAAAGTGTTCTTTTGGCCATTGTGTTTAGCATCATCTCTCCACTTTCTTTGACTTTCTAAGCAACAAGTTGGCCACTTCTTTCTTATCATCTATTGGGTCCAAGTGGGAAAGCATTCAATTCTAATCCATTTGATCACCAAGTTTTGTTGGGCTTGGGAATCAAAACTACTTGTTTGGCCCATTTCATATCTTCATAAGTTGAGGGATTTTATTCCATTTGATGAATGGATGGGCCTTGAGGTTGACCCAATGCATAGTTGGGGGCCCATGAGCTTTATACAACTGAAATTGTAGTCCATTTTTATCTTACCAAATAGCCCTTATTACCATCTTAATTTGAGGGAAAAGAGGGGAAAAAGAGAGTAAACATAATGTGAATGAGAATGAAAAAGTACTCATTAGGAATGATCTTCAACTTCACCATGATCACATCATATAACATTTCCTATTGAATATACAAGGCCAAATTTTAAAATAATAGGCATGTGTACTCTACTTAAATGAAGCTTAGATTTGAAAGACTTTAAAAACTCATTTTACTCATTTTTCTTATTTCATTTTTTATTTGAACTTTAAATAAAGGGATTGAATTTTTTGTGTACTAAGGAGGAAATATTATATGACAAAATTCAATTTATTTTTTAATTTTAATACATGTACATTGATCAATGTYCTTTCTTTTAATTTAACACGTATAGTTTTTAGTTTCTTATTCATTGCTTACATTYCAAAATTCATATAAAAGCATGAATGAATAGTCACAATTAATTACACACATTTAAACAAAGCTTGGCCATTCAATRAAAAATAACCCATGCTTTGCACATGAAACAGGGTGTGATACATTAAAATACAAAACATTGTTTAGATTTTGACACATATAAAGAAACATTCTACTTTTGTTTATAAGATATGCAAAACTCCCCAAATGGGATTTTTTGCAATCATCATCTTTGGTTAAAGGGAAAAAGAATTATAAATTTAGAGAGAGAGAGAGAGAGAGGGAGAGAAGAAAAGTAAGATTTATGAAATGGGGCTAATTTTGGGGTAGGTGTTGGTTGCAACAAGATTTGATGGCCAAAAGTAGTAGTTGAGCTTTGTGGTTGCTAAGTTGCTGATTTGTCCATTTCCATTGCAAAAAGCCTAAGAGCATAAGCAATAATTCCCATTATAATTCTTTATAGCCATTCCCATTCATTGATTGAAGTTTGAGCTTTTTTATCATTGCCYGTTTGCTTCTTTGCTTCACAGAAAGGCAATGGAAAATAAGTCTCCACTGAAACCCAAACTTCTTCTCTGGTCACTTCACATTATTGCTTCTGAATTTGGAAAGGCTTCAAACTGTTGAAAGTTTATATCCAAAAGAGAGGCCAAAAATAATAATGATATATATAAAGAGAAAGTAGTAATCTGGTGTAATCATTCTATGGTAGCACTTAGTTACACTTGGCTTTGTATCCTTGGATGGGTTAGTTGTGTTGATTATCATAATCATCTTCATCAACAAGAAGAACAACTTCTTTTTCTTTTCTTTTTGTCAGCTTGTAGTCCCCACCAAAAGCCTTGTATAATAAAGATCATTGTTTTCTTCTGATTAACCCTTTCTGCTTGATATAGATCCTGGAAACACCCAGAAAAACAATCATTGCTTCTTAATTATAATTCTGGGTAACAGAGAGAGAGAAAGAGGGAACCTTTTTTGTGCATTTTTATGGGTTTTGAGAGAAAACAGCATTATTGTAACGGAGGAAGGTTTTGAAATTTCTGGTTCTGAAACTCAGAAACAGAGAAAAAGAATCTGCTACAGATGTGTTTTTATAAAAGTGAAAAGGGGAGAAGATACAAATGGGAGAAAAGAATTTTCAGAATGCCAAACAAGAAGAGAAGTGATGATTCACTATTGTTATAGCCCCATTTTATTTTTCTGAAGACGGGGGTGGGTGTCTAAATTTCCATCTAGATACAGTAAAGAATGGAAGACTCATCATAAAGGGGCAAACCAGCTAAATTCTGAATCCAAATCACACATCCTCACAAAATGTAATGTATGGCTCTCAGTCAAAGAATTCCCAGTTGAACCTCGGCGGGACGGGATGCTCCGATGTCGAAGAGGCCGGGGAAGAATCGAATGTCTCCCATTTTGTTGTGACCACTGTGGTGGATGTGGTCGACGACTTTCTGGCAAGCTGTGGAGGTTGCTGCTGATATGTTAGCAAATCATCGTCGATGAGGGCCGGGTTGCGTGGTGGCTGCTCCTCTAAAATTGTTGATAGCTTACTGTTGACAAAGGAAGGCCTAGTTGTTTGTCTTTGATGATTAGAACTATTGTTGTGTTGGAGTTGAGTTGGTATTTGGGATGCATCCATGGAGTTTTTGATCTTCAACATATCAAGAGTTTCAACATATTTTTGCACTCTTTTTACCTGAAAATGATCAAGTGGTTCAAAACCTTCAATTCAAGAACAGGAAAATGAATGATATGATCATAAAAAAACAGAACAGAACCTGCATTTTTCTCTGCAACTTTACATCTCCATCTCCCATAATAGCATCCAATTTAAGCAATTCATTCATCAACAAATCAATCAAATTCAGCACATCATTCTCTGCAACCTTCCCACCTTTAGAAACCACAGATTCCAAAGCAGAAACCTATATGCATTGCCAATTTTCCATTACCCACCAAACTTGGATTTCACAAAAAACAGAACAAACATGAAATGAGATTCATTCATTTTATCAAGAATTAGTTACCTGTCCCGCAAGTCTATCAACTTCCAAGCTGATTTCGGATATAGATTTGGAAGCTTTCTCCGTTTTGGCATTCTTCCTCATCTCAAGGTACCTTTTTTCTTGGCTAATTGGGTCTTCCATTAAAACAATCTTGGATTTGTTTTTGACCCCAGAAATGTCCAGAAACGCCTTTGAATCTCTCTCCTTTTTTTTGAACAACAGCTTCTGATCTTGGTGGTGCAATCCTGTAGGTCCTACCAACATCTTCTTCAATTCCCCTGCAACCCCAAAAAAACGAACCACCAAAAGAAAAATAAATAAGTAAAGCTTCAGCAGCAGCCATACTAATCAGCCTTCAATTTCGCACCGAATCAGCCCCCTAATCGTTTCGACTTCCTTTTCGGATTCTAAGGAATTTGTACAGCAAAAAAAAAATTAAAAAAGGTCGGATTTTTGGTGTTTACCAAATGTAGCTTGGGAACTGATACTGATTTCGTGGTAATTTGAGCCGTATTTGACTTTGACTCTGATGGTCGGCGGCGGAGTAGATTCCTGGTCGGAATCTGGGGTTCTCTTCTGAACAAGCATCCCCCCTGGCCGTAATTCCCAATCCATCGGCCGGGGCTCGCCGCCGGCGTCACCGACGGCAGAACTCCCTTTCATCTGCGACAGCCCTGTGGTCTTAGTCTTCATTTTCATCATCTTTGACCCAAGGACCAATCGGAAAGCGGCAGATCTCGGCGGCGAAGGAAATAATTTCCGGCGATCTGCGAAAGAAAATGAAGGACACCCAATAGAGAGAATTGGAAGTTGAGAGGGTATTGTGGAAGAATCCAGTGAGGGCAGCTTGCATTTACTGAGTTCCAAAGCAATTGCAAAAGCCACGCGTTCCAAAATAGCGATTGAGGAACCAAAATTTCCTTGTTAAATCTGAAATGGCGTTTCTCACAAGACTAAAATCCGAGGCCCCCCCTTCCCATCACTTCCCCAATAGATATCTTTGAGACAAATGTTTCTTGTTTGAGTAAAATCTGAAGAACCCAGAATCTGTCAGAGCAGAGGGAATCAGGATGCAGCCAAAATAGCCTGGAACTTACCTGGGAGAAAAATTCCCCCACTTGCGGAAGTCTCGAATTTGAAAGAACATGGAACTTGAAAGAAAAGAACCCAAGAAACTGTATCGCTCTGTTGAACTTGAAGGTAGAAGAAATGA